ATCAGTCTTCCCATAGGGATCCAGTTTCTGATCTTTCCAGCTTTAACCCTTACTTCTTCTCTTGTTTCCTTGATATGGTTCAGAAGATGACTGAACAGAAGATAAGGCAGATCCACCTTCTTGCCTTTACTCATACAAAACATGAAGTACATTTGTTCTGAGTTGACATAATCTAGTGAGTTAGAAGATTTTCTATGAAAGATAGAACTCATGAAAATCTTAGCCCAGATTCTGTAAACAGGCTTCAGATCTCTGACCTTGTTGGATGGTTCCCCAGAAACACAAACTTCTTGAAAAATGTCTGCCAAGTCCACACAGGCAGTAGCCATACTTGTGATTCCATCAGTTTCCTTATACTCAAGTAGTTGTCTGATTAACTTTTCAGTGATGACAATTTCCTTCCCAAGAACAGAAGAATGAATGAACTTAGGGCAAACTTTGAGCGTGTATCCAAAATTTCTTCACCAAGGTTGGATAAACAGGACCCATCATCCTGTCAAAATACTTTTCCCAGTTCTGAGTTTTGATGGTTGGGTAGAGATCAAAACCATTTTCTTTAATGGATTCAAACTCCACAAAGTTCTCACACAGAACCTCAAGATCTTTGATTGGAGTGAGAAGAGTTCTCACAGGTGCCTTGTACACAACAACAGTTTCAGTAGCATTTGGAGAAGATGCAGCAGCATTTGAGGTTTGCATCTGAGCAGATGTTGAAGATGGTGAAACCATTGATGTTCTTGAGATGCGTCTGGGTTTACGAGAGGTTTTGGGTTTTGAAATGAGATGGAAACAACAGAGAAGACAGAAATGCATATGAGAAGTGAAAAGAGTGTAAACTGTGATTTGTGAAGTGTTGTGAGAATTTATAGAGCAATTTAGGGCATGCAAAAGTCACAAATAATCTCACGCGTGCACAAGCATTGAATGAAGTGAAACATAATCATATCAAGCAATTAATGCAAGGAATAAAATCATATCAAGCATTTAAGATTCTGACAGAAGGGGGAAATTCAAGAGATTTTGGATTTTCAAAGCAATACCTCAAACGTCAATTCAGTATGGTGCATTCTACCTTTCCAGATTCTGAGCTACACGTGTTTGCTTGCATGTGCCTCTAAAACTCTTTGAGAAATGAAACGTTAGGCAACGTTCAGATCCACTGAGCCTTGTTAGTTCAAATTTACACACAAATAAATAAACACAGAATTGAAAAGAAGAAATACTTTAGAGTTTAGACATTTATCATCTGAAAAAAATTTCATCTGATGAATATTTTATTCTGGACAGAAGTCCATACTTATATTTTTCAGAATAAATTTAAATCTATCTTCAGCAAGAGGTTTTGTAAAGATATCAGCCCACTGATGATCTATATCCACAAAGTTTAAATTGATAATTCCCTTCTGAACATAGTCTCTGATGAAATGATGTTTAATCTCTATATGCTTAGCTTTAGAGTGTAAAATGGGGTTTTTAGATAAGCATATAGCAGAAGTATTATCACAGAAGATAGAAATGTTACTCTCAAAAATTTGATAATCTTCCAGTTGACTTTTCATCCAGAGCATCTGGGTGCTACAACTAGCAGCAGCAATATATTCTGCCTCTGTTGTTGAAAGTGCAATTGTGGGTTGCTTCTTGCTGAACCAGGAGATCAGATGACTTCCAAGAAATTGACAGCTTCCAGAAGTGCTTTTACGTTCTACTTTGTCTCCAGCATAGTCAGCATCACATAATCCAACTAATTTATACTCATCAGATCTTCTGTAACACAAACCCACATTAGTAGTACCTTTCAGATACCTTAGAATCCTCTTAACAACTGTTAAGTGAGATTCTCTAGGATCTGATTGGAATCTAGCACACAGACAAACACTGAATAAAATATCAGGTCTTGAAGCAGTCAAATATAAGAGAGATCCAATCATACCTCTGTAAAGTTTTTGATCAACTTTCTTACTTACCTCTTCCTTACCAAGTGTGCTTGTAGGATGCATTGGAGTCTTTGCCAATTTGCTTTCATTCAGATTGAATTTCTTCAGAAGCTCTTTGACATATTTAGTCTGGTGAATATAGTCTGATTCACTTGGATTCCCAGAAAGAATCTAAGTTCTCCCATCATTCTCATTTCAAATTCAGCCTGCATAGACAAAGCAAACTCCTTTCCCAGCATAATATTGGTAGATCCAAAAATAATATCATCCACATAAATTTGACAAACTAGTAAATCTTTCTTAAATGTTTTACAGAAAAGAGTTGTGTCCACTTTGCCTCTGATAAAGTTCTTTTCCAGAAGAAAATTACTTAATCTTTCATACCAAGCTCTGAGAGCTTATTTCAAACCATAAAGAGATTTTTTGAGTTTGAAAACATGATCTGGAAATTTATTACTTTCAAAACCAGGAGGTTGATGGACATAAACTTCTTCTATAATGCCATTTAAGAAGGCACTTTTAACATCCATCTGATATAGAGTGATGTTATGTTGTGCAGCAAATGAAATAAGAAGGCGTATAGATTCTAACCTTGCTACTGGAGCATAAGTTTCAGTGTAATCAATTCCTTCTTGTTGACTGTAACCTTGAGCTACTAACCTTGCTTTGTTCCTAACAACTTCTCCTTGCTCATTTAGTTTATTTCTGAATACCCATTTTGTTTCAATAATGTTGAAACCTTTTGGTCTTGGAACCATATCCCACACATCATTTCTTTTAAATTGATTCAGCTCATCTTGCATTGCAAGTATCCAATCATTATCACTCAGAGCCTCATCCACAGATGTTGGTTCAATAATAGACACCAACCCAAGAAGTGATGTTCCAGATGATCTGATAAATGACCTTGTTCTTATAGGGTCATCTTTCTTCCCAATAATCATTTCTTCTGGATGAGAAGCTTTGATTCTGGATGATCCTTTAACTGTTGGTTCTTCAGAAATATTCATGTTATTCATTTGAGCAGCTAATGGAGTTGCATCTGGCGTAGCTTCTTCTTGAGCTTTCTCTACCTCTAGTTTCTCAGATTCTGTGAGAATAACTTTTCCATCTGCAGAGTTTTCAAGCTGCTTTGGCTTTTGATTGCCAAGTTTATCATCAAATCTAACATGTATAGATTCCTCCACAATCTGTGCCTCAGTATTGTATACTCTGTAGCCTTTAGAGCGTTCAGAATATCCAAGTATGAAACACTTTTGTGCTTTAGAATCAAACTTGTTAAGATTCTCTTTAGTGTTCAGCATAAAACAAATACATCCAAAAGGATGGAAATAAGAAATGTTTGGCTTTCTATTCCTCCACAATTCATAAGGAGTCTTTTCCAGAAGAGGTCTAATAGACACTCTGTTCTGAATGTAACATGCTGTGTTAATTGCTTCTGCCCAAAAATGTTTTGCCATGTTAGTAGGAATATCTTAAGTAGGTAAACTTATATATTTTTTTGTGGGCCCAAAGTGATTTGTAAGATTTAAAAAATTTATAGTTGATTTGAGTTGTTTTTACTTTAATGATAGCTGCTTATAAAAAACTAAAACTTGATCCTATATTTTATATTTTTTAATTATAATAATTTTTTTTATTCAAAAAATTATAAGACTTTAATAATATAAATAATAATATTATATGTTTTAAAATAAATAGCATACATTAGTTATATAATTGTCGGAAACTAAAAATGTCATGGTCATTACAATGCAAAACTTTTATAATAATAATTAATTATAAAAAATTTAACTATTAAACATCTGCCTTAAAAATATCTAACAAATTCTTTATACACTTAAAATTTATTAACCAATTGAATCTAATCACTTAATTAAATATAGCATTTACTACGAAAATAATAATGAGTTGAATCACCCGTAAAAAAAAATAAAAATAAAAATAATAATGAGTTGAATCACCCGTAAAAAAAAAAATTAATAATAATGAGTTGAATCTAAACATGTATTTAATTATTAACTAATAATTGAATAGTTAATGGGAAAATCTTGAAAGGAGATTGAAATGAGTAAAAGATTATTGGAACAAAAAGAATCTCTCTTATTCTTATTTATCTCTCGTGAGCTTATCGCCATGGAAGAAGCACTTTTTTTATAAGAAAAAGTTAAATTCCGCGTTTTCACAATCATTCACTTTCTTATATAAGTTCTTCACACCACAATTATTCATTTTTTAAGCTTCAATTTTCTCTCTGTTCTGAGTCTTTGTCATCTCTCACAACCTTCTCCACTTGCAAGTCAGAATCTCTCCCTCTCTTTCTCTCTTTCAATTTCTTTTTAAGAATCTGATTTTATTTTCTGTTAATGGATTTTCATGAAATCGATTCATACTATATATTCATTGGAGCTTGATTTCATAAACCCTAATTTTTTGTTGGTATTTTTGTTAATAGTTGATAATCGTTGTTTTGGCATAAGTTGGGGTCGATCTAGGGTTATTTGGTAAAACTGGAGCTTGTGATTGTTGTGATAAGGCTTTGTTGATTATTGAAATCTTTTGATTTTGATTTTGATTTTTTTTTTAAGGTTTTTACGAAGATTAAAGATATGAAATAGCCTAACCCTACTTTGTTGTTTTAGTTTGTGAACTTTAAAATGAATCCTTATTTTAACTCACTGATGCATACATAGATAACTATTTGTGACTTGTGAGTTTAATACAACTCTTGGAATTGGGTTTATTTTCTTGTGTTTGGATATGATTTTTTTGTGGAGTTTGCTCATGAATTTTGTGGAGTTTGCTCATGAATTATTGCTGGTTTGATGATTGTTAAGCTTTGAGAAAATATACTTTGTTATATGATTCGTGTGTTTGGATTCTTTGAACCTGTGTTTGGATTCTTTGAACCTTTGATGTATTTATTTATTTTTTGTTCGCTATGTTTCCAAATTGTTTTTATTCAATCTTGTTCACTCACTCACTTGTTTTTTCTAAGCATATGTGTATGTTATTGACATATTTTTACTCTTTGGCTTGTGCTTGATTGAGATATAGGTGGTGAAGATGTCGACTCCTGCTAGGAAGAGACTGATGAGAGATTTTAAGAGGTTGCAACAAGATCCTCCTGCTGGCATCAGCGGGGCACCCCAAGACAACAATATCATGCTTTGGAATGCTGTGATCTTTGGGTGTGTGAAAGTTTACAATTCCTAATATTTTTCTTTACTATGACTGATGCTGCATCGGATTTGTGCTGCGGTTTTAGCAAAATAATTTATTTTGTTATACGTAGCCGCATCGGATTTGTGTTGCGGTTTTAGCAAAATAATTTGTTTTGTTGTGACGTAGCCTAGATCACGGTCGAAGACATTTTTTTTAAAACCCTGCGTGTGTGTACCCATTTATTTTGTGGTTTTAGTTTCTGGATAGTTAATCATGTAATAGCAATCTAATCATGTTTTTCTTTGTGCTTTTCTAGGCCAGATGACACCCCTTGGGATGGAGGTATAGTTATATCCTCTGCCTTAAACTGAAATGTTTTCTAATATTCTAATTGTGATTTGTGACTTTCTAGTGCGAGGGTTTAATGATTGAGACTTGGCACTGTAGGGTCCTCAAGTCCCACATCGTGTAGTATGAGATGCTCGATGGAGTATTTAAGTGGCTTGGTTCTTCCCTCTTGATAGCTAGCTTTTAAGGGAGGGTTTCTCAAGGGCTTAGATACTTATCAATTAACTACTTTGAAATAGCTTTTGTTATTGGCCATTTTTAAGAACAAACTTTGATATGTGATGCATGAACAAATTTTGACAATTATTTGTGACTTTCTAGTATGTTGTTAACTACTTGGAAACATCATTTATTGATTCGTTATGGATGAAAAGATTTTTACATAAAGCCTAGATGAACCTATTCGTTCATCCATCACGAATTACTTGCAAGTTTCTAATATGTTCTTAACTACGTGGTAACATAATTTATCGTTTTGTTATGGATGAACGGGTTTTCATACATAAATCATTGGCAGCAATAATTATTTTAAATTTCTAGTATGTGTTAACTACTTGGAAATAGCATCCGTCGATTAAACATTGTTGTGAACAGCAGTGATATGTCATAAATGAACAGATTCTTGGCAAAAAGTAATCGATTGCGATGACATTTATTTGTACGCATGTTGTTGGTAGCAGGGCTGTCAATCGCGGAAAATAGTGATTTGCTTATATTACTTCACAGAATAATGCTATAGCCGCTATTTGACAATATTTTGTCCTAAATAGCAATGCGGAACAACAACGATTTGTTCAAATTCCACTAGATATAGCACCGCTACTATTGCTGCTACTATTTAACAACACTGTAGCTGCTATTTAACAATATTGGAAGCTTCTATTGTAACATAGAAGTGTGTACTTTGGTGGTGTTCTATTATTTGATTCATAAAGACATGAGTTCAACTTGTAGGTGTGTGTGTGTCTCACACGCTGGTTGGTGTTTAGTGTATTTTAGATGTTAAGTTTTTGGGTCATTTCTCAACTTATAGACAGGAAGGGAAAAAAAAGATGAATACCTAAGTCTGGCCCGGGTCAGGGTGTTTTGAGTAGTACCACAGTCTTCAAAATTTTAGTTTTAATACAAGGGATTTTTGTGTCTTTCAGGTACGTTCAAGTTGACGCTTCAGTTCACAGAGGATTATCCTAATAAACCACCTACTGTGCGCTTTGTTTCTCGGATGTTTCATCCAAATAGTAAGTACAAAACTACCTAGCAATTCCTTTCTGTAGTTAGAATCGAAATTATTTCAATTATTTGTAGATTGAATCCCTGAGCATTATTCTTGCGTTAAAACTAACAAGTTCAAATAGAAACGAGAAGTATTTCAATCTAGAGGTGTAACTATGCTTCTAGAAGTCACTTTTGAAACAGCTTTTGAAGAAATTCTTTCGTTGTTTTTTTCTTCTTTTTCTTATTGCAAACTTTCTTGAAGTATGGTTTATTGGGAAAATAAAACATTTGTTTTTAAGTCAGATTTGGAACTTTGATTCTAAAGAGTGGAGACAGTTTGTACTTTTTCCAGTGTTATCAAGTAGAGGCAGTATAGCATATCAGAATTTGATTATCCGCTGCCAAAACTGTGATGCTATCGTAGTTTCCCTATTGGGGCAATAGCAGCCGCTGTTCAGTTTCTGATAGCTGATGGAGCAGCAATATCGGAAAACGGAAGATTATATCATTTTTTAAAAATTATAAAGCTGTAGAAACTGCATGTGTGCCAAACATGACCTATTTTTATAGTATAAAACAGAAAAGTCAGTGAGTATTACTCATAATTTCACCATAATATCTTTGCTATTGACAACACCATTTTCCCCCCTGATTATTTTGGACATGTCATCATGGAATGCTATTTAAATTTATTATGTTTGTTTCAAGGAAAATTTTGAATATTCAAGAGATTTAATTTAACTGCATACTATTTTTAGTGTGGTTGTCAAACACTTGAGTTAATTCTTAATTTGTGCAAGTTTACAACTCTAAGTATCAAAATCAGGTTACCCGTTTACATAGTGGTTTCTGTGTAAACTCGGGTAGACTCGGGAGTTTAAGGATGACTGAACAGTTCTAAAATATTGAGCTGAAATTAACTCCAGCAAGGAGAATCCGATCGCATTATCCTTCAGTGTTTAATGATTTTGAATCTTGTGATTTTTAATTTGTCCAATGATTTTGGACTTATGCCCTTTTTGTGTGTTAAGCTGTGAATCTTTCCTGGAGAATTTGTCCAGTGGTTTTAAAAATAGTAAAAGGCCTAAGCTCCCTTACAATGGATACTAGAGCTGTTACTCCTATTCTTTCTTTTCCCAACCTCTTTTGGTTCCAACAGAAAAGATGCATAACGATACCATCATTGTCATTCACCCTGGTATAACTACATTGCATATTCCAACTAACTGGCCATATCATCTCCTCTTAATTCTCTCCATTATCTTACTTTTTGTTACGATAAAAAATTCCCGTTGGTAGGCCGACCTTGCTTGAGGCCCACTAAGGGATCTCCTGATTCAGCATGAATCCTCAAATCAAGTATTTTATTAACCCCGTAGCTCCTGGCATAAACTAGAAACCAATGAGCCCACCGTTGCAAGATTGCAATGAACTGAAGCTAGCTCTGCTGAGCGGAACAAAGCTCTAATGAGGAGAACCTAAGTCCACCATTGTTCAGTTATTAATAAATCCGATTCTTGTTTTGTCCATTGGTTTTAAACTTGTGATTTTTTCTCTATTAAATTAGATTATCGGAAGGTTTGTGAATTTGTCTATCTATTTTGAACTGTGATAGTATCTTTGTGTGTTCTGGTTTGGTCTAGACCAGTCCAGAATGGTTTGTTGGCTATCATTGTTTGTTTTATTCTAAGTTATAATCTTGAGTATTTACAATGCTCACAGTAGATTGTGCTGGATGCTGCGGTCAATGTTTTAATTAATTTTGTATCAAGTACAATGTTACATGTATACAAGTTGAGTTTATGAAGGTTCTACAAGATATAGACTCTTGAATTTGACAACCTGGTTTGATATGACACTTCTCCTTTTGTGGATTGATATCATTAAAGTAGAGTGTTTTTCTATGTTATTGTAAAAATATGAATATTATTCAAGGATTAGGATATCTTGACACTTGTATTAGAATTGACACACTTGTGCCATTTAACAACTTGACACGGAAATTTGTTTAAAAACAATCTGACTGCTGAATTATACATAGTTAGCTCTTACCAAAATTGTGAATAGTAGCAAGATTGAAAGAATTTGATGAAGTAGTGAATATTTTAATTTGCTTTAATTGAAAAAGCATAAATGGAAAGAGTAACCTGGTGCTTTAATTTGCTTTGATAGCATATTATATCTAAATTTGAATTGATGCAGTGCAAATCAATTGTGTTATGATATACAATTTGATTTATTAGCACAATAATGACATTAAATGTAGTCTAAGACCCTTTTTGGAAATTTTAGTCTATGCAGATGGAAGTATATGCTTGGATATTTTACAAAATCAGTGGAGTCCAATTTATGATGTGGCTGCTATACTTACCTCAATCCAGGTAATTGTGATTCACTTAATATTTCAGAGTTGTTTCAAAACAATATTTGCTGTAAATGATTTGACTCTACACTGTCCATCAATTTGTATAGTTTCATTTGTTTCATATATTCATGCTTCCAACACTTTTTTCTTCCTTAGAACTTCTGGTAATGCAGGCATTTCTGCTAACAACTTGTGATATGTTAGCTTATTTTGTTGATGATCCTTAATAACAGGAAAGCACACAAAAATGTCTTATCATATGGAAAGTGACTATTTTATGTTTGTTTTTTGCAGTCATTGCTGTGTGATCCAAACCCAAACTCTCCAGCAAATTCTGAAGCTGCTAGAATGTTCAGTGAAAACAAGCGGGAATACAACCGTAGAATACGTGAGATCGTGGAGCAGAGTTGGACTGCTGATTAACCATATCATATTTGGCATTGACTAGACAATGGCTGTGATAAAAAAGGATATTATTGAATAACTACCAACTTCTATAAACAACTATGTTTTATTTTACCTGCTCTTGCTTGACTATTATGTGTTTGCTCAAACTTCATACCAATCAAACATTCTTCCTTGTTGTGCATTCTTGCTTTTGTTGGCACCATCATTGTTTGTTTTCATCATAATTAAAATAAATCAGCATAGTTACAGATAGTTTTTGTTGCCCTCCAAACCTAAGAGGGTGGATTTCTATTAAAAACAGCATATTAACACAGTTTTTGTTAACAGACAGTTTTTTCCAAGTCTCAGCCCTATGACTTTTAAGGGAAGAGACGCTGGTAATGTGATGTTTGGTTGATAGGTCAGTTAAGTGAACAATGATTACAATTATGTTGCCTTATGTTATCTCGTTATATTGATACACTAAATGTACAATTTTCAGCATAATTTTTTTAATTAAAAAATGATATTTTAAAGTAAGTATTACAAGTTCATTTTTATCCCTTCTATTTTGTCTTTCCATTTATATTTTATCATAACAAAAGTGATTTTTATCTCTTCAATTTCATCTTTCTGTTTATATTGTGTGTAAAAAGCTCACCTGCGTCACAATTAATTTTTAATCCTTGGCATTGAAATTTTTGAGTTATTACGATAGTCTTAGTGAAAAATATATTATTTATAGGAGTCCATCTCTTGTTTGGATTTATTTGACGAGTCTATGTAGTCGATATCCATTTTTCATCAAATTTGTCATCATGGTCTTTCTATGTCAGCTCTTTTGTTATCATTTTCATCTTTTTTTTTTGGGTATTTCTTTCTATTTATTTTTTTCTTGGATTTCTTGAGATTTTTAGTTCATGCGAAATTTTCTACAATCTATCAATAATGGTTGTTTTATATTGTTAACTAACAAATTATAAGTTTAAGAATTTTGTTAGTCAATTTTAAAAAAAAAATTATGCAAAGAAATTTTGAAATAACTTGTTTTATGGATAAATTATTTTTAATGTTTCTTTTTGAATTTTTGAGTAACTCAAGGTTTTGATCTAATGTATTCATTCTCATCCTTTTGATCTCAATGGTATCTCCATACATCAATTTGAGAATGTTCTATATTTCTTTAATAGTGATATACTTTTTATACATAGAATTACTCTTTAATGTCTAGGGTACTTGTAATTAGGTTGCTAGCTTTCAGATTGTTTTACATTTTTTTCTATAGTTCAAAAAATTAATTTAAGTTTGTTCACCACTTCATTTTTAAATGGGAATAATTAAACCAATTTTAATAATCTTTAAGCATGAGTTGTTATCCAAATGACTCTAATCACAAAAGGGGTGGGAGGATGAATTCATGATGAAAAAGGATTTTGAAAATATTAACAAATTAAAGTCTTTTCAAATTTGATTCTAGAAACGAAGTAGAAGAAGAAAAATATGATAGAAAAGATAAATAACATTAAAGTAGAAGAAATGAGAAAGAAAGAAACACGGTAGAGTTATACTGGTTTGATAAAAAACTACGAGGTTTAGGAAAATGATATTTTTACACTAATTTTTAACACTACACCGTATTAGTACATCCTACAATCTACTGATTCAATTTTTTAATAATTTATTTAACTTTGGTTTCTGTGCATTGCATTTTCTTTTGTTGGTTTATACGGTGTAAAATACTGGTGTAGAAAAAGTGGTGTTAAAATAGCATACCTGCGAGGTTTATTCCAATCTTCAAAGACCGTATTTTGAGATTTTCACTACCATCAAATTTTTATTTCATATTCAACCCTCAACCATTTTATATCAATTTTTAATCTCTTGTTTAAGAGTTATAGATTAGAATATGATAGTAGTGGTTACACAAACAACTTCAGTTATGTAGTTACTCTTTCACTACTAAAGGTATTGAATATTCTTGTGTGTTTTCCATGATGACAAGACACCCCCTCCCCTCGTAAAACAATTAGTCAAAAAGAAATTCTTGACGGTCCAATTTCGTTCCATAATTAATTATGCTATGATCATATTCGATTAAAATCTTTGCAAAATAGGAAATATTTGATAGATTAAAAAAATAATCGATTACTAAGGTCCCCATAATCGATTACCCAGTCAGTTCACATCAGAATTGATTATATAAGTGTCATAATTGATTATAGATCGAATTTCGCTTTTGAAATCAATTATACTTCCGTTTAAAATATTTTATCCCAATTCAAAGTGATTTTTAAAGATGTTTTAAAAATGTTTTAAAATTTAGTGTGTTTGTATGACCTTAGTATTTTGAGAATAACACACTTAATATTACAACTTTGATCTTAGTGAGACAAAAAGAGAGAGCATAACACATGATTGTAAAGTAAACATTTAACAAATGATATCGATTCTTGACGACATTCTTTAACTTTTCATTCTTTTGAAGAAATAATCAGAAACTTCTCACTTTTTGATTTGATTCAAACTTTCTTCCTCGTTTAATGATATTTATAATATTTATCAAAACTTTTTAAAAATATTAAACACATTGAACCACATTTAGATGTTGAGAGGCTTTAATGTGAGGTGTGTGAATTTGATAAAAACTAATGTGTATCTTTTTCACTCAAAATAAGCATCTTTTTGTATTATCTTGTTCATACAGATGTGTGAGCTCCATCGAGTGTCTACCATATAAGAAAGTAGTATGTTATGGAAAAGACCATACTACCCTTTTTTATGATTGGTCAAAACCCACTTTTTGGAGGTTAATCATGTAATATGCATGCTGATACCAACTTCTTTAGTTTGCAACCAATTCGGTTTTGGCTCTATTAAGACAGAAAGGCAAATGCAGTGAAATTTCTTATTTTCAACGATACCATCACTTCAGACTTACTGCATTTTTTCAAAAAACAAACATCATGTCATAAAAACCTATCCATCATGTAGATTCTTTGATATTTTCTTCTTCAGATCAAATCCGCTTCTCTCTTATTTTCATATGTTTCTCACTTTTGCTTTACCTCCTCTCATAGTTTCATATGTTTAAGAAAATCTGGATAACATGGAAAGACCATTTGAGAATTTCAAGGATATTAATGATACAAAAGAGATTTGGAAGATCACTATTAAAGTTTACCATAGATGTAATCGTCGTTGACAAACACGTAAGTTCATGAAATATTGTATTCAACCATGTTCTTTGTTTTTTTAAACTAACTTGCAATAGGTTATGTTTTGTTTTTATTTCTTGCTCAACCATTTTGTTTGTAATGAGTTCGGTTGATTTCGGATTCAGTATATAATATGTATGTCTCATTAAGTTTCTAAAATTTGGCGTGGAAATTTGGTGTTTATAATATTCACGTCTTTTTACTTATTTTGGTTTTAATGATGATAAATGAACTTCATATTTTACTTTCCTTGATAGGGGACTGATATCCATGTGGTTGTTCCAACATTGTATAATAAGAATTAGGAATCTCAGTTAGCTGTTAACGACACATGCACAATATCAAACATTTAGGTTCAACTTAATGAGTTGGTCTTCAAACCTTCAAATCATAAATTTTTCATAAAATTTACTAGAGGAACTACGATTGGTGATACAAACAAGCGTATCATCTCGGACAAAGTTATTAACTTCACTCCATTCTGTGATATTATAACCGGAAAATAGAAAAAAGATGCATTGATAGGTAACGAGTTTGTTTGATCAATAATATGCTTTTTGTGCTCATTTGCATGATGCAACGTAATTGTTATGACATTTGTGGCATATATTATTGGAATGGTGGATGAAATTGGGTACATAAAGATCCATACTGGTAGCAAATAACAGCAGGTCAACATGGTGTTGCGGGACTTGAGGTATCTATGATCTTTACGAATTTCTTATTTACTTGTTATGATCTTATTTTTACTGCCTATGTTGTCTTCCTCTCTTTGTAGAAACAACACTATCAATTGTACCATCTGGGAAGTTTATGCGTCATAGTTCATCAAATTCAATCAACATAAAGCTGATTCTGCCTTGCCAATTATCATCTTACTCCAATATGCCAAAGTCAAAGAGGAAAGTTTGCCATTCTTCCATTTTGTATGTTGTAGTATTTTCATTTATGAATTTTCTTTTTCATTATCTAATACACATAAAATCTTCTTTTCCATGTAGGAAAGTATCCTTTTTGGTTTCTAACACTTGAAATGTTATAAAACTGTACATTCACGACGATTTCGGTCCAATCAATGACTTCATTAAAAGGTCCAATTCTTGACAACAAAATTTTGTATTACTTTCATTACATACATTTCACCAAATCCTATAAATTTTTTATGTTTTTTTATTTCTGTTACCATCCCTTTTATTTTTTTCTTATTTCTATTAGCATCCCTAAGGATACATTGGTGGACTGGTCCAGCCAGTTAAGTTTACAATCTCAAGTGTGGTCACAAAACTTTTCTAGCTCTCAACTTACTCCTTACCAAAAATTCATGTCAAAAGCTATTGTCCTTCCTATCAGTGAAATTAAGCAACTTAGTGAAGCATATATTTTTATTCATGACTTTTTCCCCTCGTCCTCACACACTTTTTTTTATGTTTAACTCTCACACAATGGCTTCCCTGCAGATAACTTTCTATATTATGGTTGCAACAATTGATAAACTCATTGCATCATAATAAGGATGATATTATCAGACACATCATAAATGTCCTAAAGTAGCTATGGGAGACAAGCCCCCTTTAAAATGTCAAGCTGAACATTTAACAGAAGCTGAAATATTTAGGTTATATCTTTTGCCAAATGTTAATAAGAGCATATATTTATTCTCCCTTATATACATAACATTCATTACTACTTTCATATTTTGAACATTTACTAGGTACAAAATACAAATAGAGGTTGTTCTTTGCGGAAGTCGTTGTAAGTTTGTTTTATGGGACTGAGAAAATGAGCAACTATTGGGTCTCTCTGCTGCTCAAATGCACAACA